ATAATGCAGAATCTTTAAACATGTGGCTGCTCTGCAGAGGACTTTTTTGGAATAACACTGTGTCCCTGTTGGATTTATGCAACTGTAAACCTGCAAAGATGTACTGATACGGCTTCACACTGTCCCCCTCAAACTCCAGGAAGTTCTTGTCTCAGTGGAACAAAATAAAGTGTCTGCAGGTAAGCTGCTGTGCACTCACCTTTGCCTGATGGGAAAGCAGGTGCAGCAGATTTATATAAAACGGGTTTTGTCGAGTCCTTTCACTGCTCATACCGAGGCCGCTCACGATCAGCTTTGAGGGGGATTCTAGTGTCTGATTAGTTGTTGTGAGGAGCGTGTTCCTGGTCTCGCCGCAGTGAACTTTGAACTCTGACTCCAGAAAGTTTTATAGTTTTTACCAACAAACTGAACAGTTTGAAGTCGAGGATGAAGAGAACATAGCCTGAGACTTCCAGATGTTTACAGCCTATTTGTAACACACGCTCCAGTCCACAGGAAGTGGCCTCGGCACAGCTGACACTGCTCCACGAGTGCGTGCAGCAGACCCTGAACTGATCATCGTTTACACAGACGAAGCTTTTTGAAAGTAATTATCAGTTAGAGCAAATGTGTGTTTTAATGCTCTGCAGCCACTTTTAGTGCGACTGGGTTTATACAATAAAATATCAAATTATTGTCACTTTAACAAAGTGCAAAGCTGAGAAGTTGTTTTAAAAATAATAAAGGTACAGAGATCAATCGCGTCCGTCCACACAGTGAACCGTTGTTAACATCGACCACGTAAGTGATGATTAATTAATCGAGCAGCGCCGTGAGGCTGCTGCGAACAGCATGTCAGCTGCATGTTGGCGTTTTGGTTTTGTTCTTACAAAATGTTTTTTTTGCCGCGTGAGAAAAGGAAAAACCAACAACAGCCAACGGCTCCTTCTGGTTATCGATCAGCTGAACCTGATCAATAGTCAGCATCAGTCAGGAGGAGAGGGAGGCGTGTTCATCAGGTGTAAACTGCGTTAAATTGGCTCCGTAACCTGACGGGCGCCTTCTTACAGAGCG